ATATGGCAAATCGAGTCGAGTGCAAAGTTTCGAATTTCAGAACATACCCGCATATCAAAATCTCGAAACCGCCTTCCAGGAAAACACTTGGAAAAGTTGATTTTTTTGGGGAAGTATAACAAAAAATGAGTTATTTTCTTAAACTTATTTTGTATGAAAAAACTTTATCTATTAATCTTGTAAAAATGTAATCTATTGTTTTTGTATGAAAAAATATTAAAAGATAAATAATCTTGTAAAAATTCATATTTTTGTGAAAAAAAAATCAATAACTTTGAAAAATCTGCAAAATCGTAGTTCTATGTACACGTACTCGATACCTTTCCGATACTGAGTAGGTATCGATACCTTGTTTGATACAAGTACAAGTACTGATTTGAGTAATACCTCGATGGTATCGATTTATCCCTACCCATATCAAGAAAGAGAATGTGCGTCTACTTCGACATGCGGATTGTGCAACAACTCAAGAAATATACAAATTAAACTTATCTGAGTAATGCCATTTGGAAAAGGGCTGTATTATCTACTACATATATATTTACATAGAGACCTTGATTTTTTTTTCATATGTATGTCTGTTTATATACTATGTATGTACATACCTTTTAGCTGAGCTCAATTCATCAGTAGATAAACATTAGTCGCGCTCTGTTTAATTTGGCCAGTTAATCGTTAGCAGAGAAAAAATCGAGCATTAAGAAAAAACTAACTAAAAAGTGAATACTATGCTGTTGTGAAAATGGCACAAGACAATATAGCGCATCTTCGAGTTAACTTAAAAGTCTGTTAGTGTCAACGACACTTCAGTTGCCAAGATATCGGCGGTGTTTGCGCAGCCAATTATCATAAGATTGGCAATAAGCTACTCATTGACCCCAATATTTTTAGAAAAATCATTTTTTTTATATTTTTGCATGCATTTACATACAGACATATGTAGGTTTATATGTATGTACATTTATGTACATATATACATATCTATATATGAATCTAAATGTTTACGTACCGAATACAAATTTGGTGTTTTATGTTTTTGTTTTTGCATACTTTTTTATCTTTTATTAGCTGGTAGACGAATATATCGCACACGATCTTCAAAGGTGACACAACTCAGAATTTCGCATTTTTGAAATTATGCACTAAAAATGTACACTGTGCCTTTATTTACCATTTACCATTCAGCAAAAGTTGGAGTAAATTTTTGTTATGATATGTTGAAAAAACCTAAGATAAAGTCCCCCTTGCCCATATGATCAGCATGTGCTAAGAAATAGTTTTTCGCATTTTCTGACGAACGCGTAATTTTGAGTTGTGCGATTTTTGAAGATCGTGTGCGATATGTACTTGCGTGCCTACATACATTTGTATACATATATTTATGTACGTACATACATATATATACATAAATTAATCTTTAACTTTGACCCCCAACTTAACTTTATCTAGGCTTATTAAAACTTTTGTGTTCATTTGTATCTCTTCAGGTTTTTTTATAAACTTTGAAACGTTGTTTATATGGTTCCGTAAAATTGCAAAGGATCGTAAAAAACTTAAAGTTCACTACTGGACATAATTAAGTTTATATTATTCTCATAAATGTTATACTAAACAAACATTTTAATACCAGTATGTATTTGCTTCAGAGAATTTTCTATTTACACATGTGCGCATACGTAAGTAGGAGAGTTGGTCAATCAATTCCGGAAAATTTATTTTTATTTTATTTACTTTTATTTGATGCACTTCTCGCGGGGGATATTTTGTCTATGCACTTCCTATGTTGCTAGGTCGAACCATTTCGATTCTCTAATGAATCCGCCGATTCCGCTTATGGTAGATCCTGACAGGTCGGTTATCTGTGCTACCAGATGTTTTCCTCATGTCCTGTGTCTAATGTTCCAAAGGCCTGGACATTCACATAGGAAATGCCGGACACTTTTTTCGCTATCTTCTAGTTGACAGCTGCGCCAAACCATATTATGGGATAGAACTTTTTTGCCGCATGTTTGCCTATGAGCCAGCACCCCGTGATGGTTGCTATAATTCTAAATACCTCTGACCTTGATCTGCCAAGCAGGCCCAAGGTTTTCGCCTTGTTATAGTCAGACCATAGTTTTCTCGATATCTTACAAGTAGGTATATCTGCGTGTAGCCAGTTCAAAAAAATGCGTAGTAATCTCTATTTGGACTATTCCAAGGGCGCAACCCAGTGTCACCGACTGAGATTCATCCAAACTGGCTCCTGCCAACTTCGCCAACTCATCCGCCTTCTCATTGCCTTCTATGTTCCTATGTCCGGGAACCCAGACAAGAGACACGGTAGTTGACTCAGACACTGAGCGCAATATCACTTTGCATTCTCTAACTAGCTTGGATTTGGTAACCGGTGACGCTATTGCCAATGGCGCCAACTGTCTGTCAGAATATATTGTTGCTTTACTGCTGTGCCCAATTCTATTGCCTAGTATTTTACAGGCTTCTAGGATCCCTAGAACGTCCGCTTGGAAGATGCTTGTATTATTACCCAGCCGTAGAGACAGAGCCACGCCGAGCTCCTTGGAGTAGACTCCCGCTCCCACACCGCAATCCATATTGGATCCATCAGTGTATAGAGAGATCGCCTCTCGGTCGGCCACTCGTTCTCTTCTCCAGTACCTTCTGGATGGGAATAACACTTGCACGTTATAGCTGAAGTCCAAATTGCCTACCATATAAGCTGTCGTCCTACTTAATTGCATTTTATTTATGATCATACCATGTCCGAAGTGCCTAGTCCTCCAAACGCTTGACTCTCTGAGTCTGGCCGCCGATTTCACAGCCACTTCTTTCAAGTGAAGATCAATAGGAATTAAATTGAGGATGGCATTTAGAGCTTCTTCCGGACAGGATCTTAGTACCCCTGTTACCCATGCGCTTGCTGCCGTTTGTGTTCTTCTTAGTTTACTGACATTATATTGTCTGCTTAGGCCGAGCCACCAAACCAGTTAGAATTGGTCTTATGATCGCGGTATACATCCACATCACAAGTTTAGGAAGAAAACATATATCAGGATAAAATAAAACCATTAGGACACTATTTCGATCACATATTTAGTCACTTTTTCCGAAAAAATGTTATTTCAACTTTTCGTCATTTATTAGACTAGAATTGTTCGACATCATCAGAAAATAATAGCTGTACTCTACAGAATTAACAAAATCAAATAAAAAATTAAAATAAATAAATTATATAAAAAATAAAGAGTTCATAAAATACAGCCATTATTACCTGATGATATGGAACAAAATTGTTAGTCTAATTAGTAAATGAAGAAAAGTTTAAATAATACTTTCTCGGTGAAAAAGTGACAATATATATAAATGTGATCGGCAAAACGGTTAACACCATTGAATTCAGCGTACCCAAATTATCCAGAAATTAGTTGCGTTCGATAACAAAATTAGCCAACACCAGCCAACAATCAAAATCAAGAGAGTAAGCGAAAATTCTCTCCCAAAGAGAAGAAAAAGCAAAAAAGTAAACGAACAGGAAATTAGCCATTACTTGCAAAAACCGGGAGAAGAAGACACACCAGCTGACTTTGTTTATGTTTTATTTGTAAACAAACTGAAATTCATGTTGCCACCATGGACGAAAAAAGGAAAGTGAACGTTCAATGTTCGCCAGGAACATTTCTAGAAGTAAAAACTAGTTGGCGCTATCATAAAGTCACATAGCAGGCAGCCAAAAACCATATAAATAACAAAACTCGAAAAATGCAATTTTGTTTGTTTACAAAAATTGCAACCATATGTTTTGTGATCATATGTTTTGGTGTTGGATAATTTTTGCTGACTAAAATTTTGCCAGTACAAAATGAACGCTTCTCTTGCATCAAAATGAACGCTTGCTCTCTCAATTTTTGTGAACGCCATCCAGTAAAAATTTGGAAAAACTATTACAAATTTTTGACTTGTCGAACGCAACTATTACCTCCCGTCTGACCGACTTTTCAACTACAACAGTGTTATTGTTGGTTTTCTATAATATCACTACAAAAAATATATTGGTTAATATTGGGTTTAGGTTAGAATTAAGATGAAAAATTGCGATTAATATTAATATTGAAATTGAGACTTAATTGACTTAAGTGAAGATTAAGATTAAGATTTAGGCAAAGACAAAGCCAAAGACAAAGACAAATGAAAAGGCACAGCCGAAGACAATGAAATGAAAATTTGCCAGGTTCTTCCTTTTGGGAAAAATTTCTACGAAGTTTCAGTTCTTCCGCGCGTAGAGACTACATGTCTTCAGTTTATTTTGTTTTATCTTTTAAAAGGCTTATCTGGGTATGTATCTTGATCTGGGTGCACAGGCTGTGCTTATGACCGGTTAGATACACAGGGAACAACCTGTTAGTATATGTATAAAAGATGTTTGTATGTATGTTCCTTTTAGGATAGTCAAAGAGCTTGGCATGTTCGTAGTCTCGAAGAAGGAGACCTGTTCTAATTTTAAAGATTTATTGACCCACACTCGTATGGACATATATGTAACTGCGGGTGGCACGTTTATTCAATTCAATTGCTTTTCTGTTTTTTTCATTACAAACATTTATTATTGATAGTTACATTAATTTAATTATTTTATTTTTTGTTTTTTTTTTTTCATACTCTTTGGTTAGCTGCTGTTGCTGCCTGCAAGGGCCCACATTGTATGTAAATATGTATTTCAAATAGTTTACTGAGTTACTAGCTGGTCTGTGGGTAATTGAGAGTGAGTTAAATTTGGATGTTTCGATACTTTTGCGTGTTAGTATGTATTTATGTATCTTTGCATATGCATGCATATACATAGCTACATATGTATATACATAAAATATGCATATGTATGTGAGTACTTATACACATACCCATATAGACGAATACGTACGTACATACATACATACATACTTATTTCGCTATGTGGAAACAATATTATGATTAAACATCAGATTTTGCCACGGTTTGGCAGTCGTTTGCGCGTTCGCCTGTGCTCAGTAACGAATTGTCTCTGATACGCGAAGTTTGATACGGTGCGCAATTGCAACCGTTGTAGTTTTTTGTTGGTGTGAAGGAAGTGAAGGAATTGCAAAATCATCTGGTTTTATGGTATGAAATAAAAATCGTTTGTAGAAAGAAGTATTTTTTTTTTTTTTTTTTTTGTTAAAACGCAAACAAAGTGATACTTAAAAATAAGAATTTTTTATAAGACGATTTAAGAAAAATATTTACACACGTTTGTATGTACGTACGTACGTATTCGAATGCAATGGACTGGTATTATAGTGACACAAAAGCCTTGTTATACATTTTGTTATGGAATTGGCACAACAACTTCAGTGAACTTCTTTGCGCTAGCCATTGTTTTAAAGCTTCTTTAACGCTTTGCTAATTGTTGCTGAAAATGTGGTGTTGAAACAAAAGACTTAAGCTGCAAACACTGTCTGCGCATACGTATGTATGTACATAGTATATTCATGTATCTATGTATGTAATTCCATGGTTTTGCATTTGTGCGTTTTTGTTTGTATTTGTGCTTCGAATTGCTGATTAACCAAAAATTACGTGAATATATAGAAACAGTGGAATAGCAAATATTACAAAATGTGTTAATTTTTTTCAATAAAAATACTCAAGTGTGCATTGTATGTAGCTTGTTGTTGCTTCTTTACAGCGCTGGTGGAGCTAGCTACTAAACCATGCATACAAATGTATGTACTTATTTTTTATTTGACGTTTTATTTTTGGTATGTACAGACTTAGTATGTACATATGTAAGTTAACCAATGCGGTTTGTCTTATGCTCCACAAGCTGTTGTGTAAAAATTTTGCAATTAGCTTAATTGAATGAGAATTTGTACAATGTTTATATGAATGTGGTTTGAAAATTCGATAGATAATTCACCTGCACTTTTAGGATCGCATTGACATTGAGGTTCAACAGTATAAAAACTAATTTGCCAGAAGGTATTCCCAAAATCCAAAATTCAAGTATAAAACAACACTCAGCCATCAACAATTGTATTCGTAACAAGTGAATGGACATTTATCTATGTAGCTCGTCGACTTCCTTGTGCGCCAGGTAGTGCAATCGAAACCTGCCCCAAATGTAAATAAACTATAACAACAAATTGAGAAATGAGAAATGAAAAATAAAAAAAGAAAATTGCACAACTAAACACTAACTGCATTCAAACAAACATTCAGAAGTACTCGCCGACCACGGCCATCGTGGCGCACAGTGTAGGATTTTTCAGGTCTAGGGGAACTTTATTCACAAAACTAAATGGTGGGTACTCATGCCAAACGTATGCCATTCGACTCGGCATTTATAAAGGCTGTTTCACGTTATTTCAAATTCAAACCACCGGCAACGTAGCGCACTGAGTAGCCTGTCTCAAAGTGACTACATTGTTTTTTAAAGGAAAGGGGTTACCTCACAAGTGGTCCCATTCTAATTTGGTTTAAATGCGATCATTGGATCATAATGAGATTAAGGATAATCTTAAATTTTTATATAAGAATTGAAGTCGGTTTTGTTTTTTGCTTAAAAATTACTGGTTGTTTGATAAAATTGTTATTGTGTGTAAATAATAAATAATAATAAAAAAAATAAGCTTGTGTTGTTGTTTGTTCTCCTTAGCGTCCTGTGTGTATATATTTTTAAAATAGAGACTTAAAAGTGTACACCCATGTAGAGAGCTTGAAATCATTTTTTTTTTTTTGTATATTCATATATATATCTCTATTAGAGTACAATTAGTATAGCTGCGTCTGCCTGCGTCACTCATATATATATATTTTTTCTATAGAGGTGCACAATATGAGGAAATTAAACAATTTCAAATGTGGTATCAGAGCAAAAAGGAGGATAGAAATGAACTAACGTGCCATTACATATTTGAAAACAATAATAATGCCATGGACAAAGACCCCAAATCAAGGAGTTTGCCGTTATTCAAGTCAGCGCAAGCTTGCCAAGTTTCTTGTTGCAAACAAAACGTGACTTTAAAAAAAGAAACCATCATCCCAAAAATGATACATCTGTGGAGCAAGAACAACAAACAAAATTAACCAAGTTACAGTAGCTTCTCGCTTGCCAGATGAAGAGATCTATTCATTTAGAATATCTCCCCAGCCCTCCTGGATTAGGTGTTTCGAATGCATAATTCACATATCATACAAACTAGAGATGAAAAAATTACAAGCACACAGGATCACAGAAGAAAAAACTTCGGTAGCCACAAAAAAGGCATATGTTCAACAAAGACAGCGATCTGAAATGGGACTCCTTTGACAGCGATGTGTACCAATATGATGGCAATACTGCCCGAAGATTTTTCTGAAACTCTTTAAAATCAGCCAAGATCACAGATACTGATGCCTTGAAGCATTATCAAGCAGTTTGGTAATCGATGTCGAAAAATATATGTAAAGCTTATGCTGAGGAAACCAAAACAATTTTTCTGAAAAAGTACCCTTAGTATTATATGCCCGCTAGTGAGCATAAGATTCTTCAACACGCGGAGAAGATAATTCAAAGCTGCATTCTGCCCCTACTACAAAAGAAGCTCAAGAAAGCATCAAAAAAGAGTATAGACGCTTTCGCGAGCACTTCAATAGAAAAATCTCTAATACATTATATGTATAAACATATGTACTACATATAAAAATTAAAATTAAAATAGCGAACGCCTGACCGAATTATATAATTTTTGTTGTTCTCTTTTTTTGTCGCAATACAATAATGGCTTAAAAAAAATGAAATTTCTAAAACTGCAAAAGGAAAAGCCGGAAAATCGAAAAATCAGTATTCGCATAAATTGTAATTCCAAACACTCGGGAATGGCTTGACCGATTTGGATATTTTTTTTTGTTTTGTTCGTCCCAATATAGTAATATCAAAAAATACACATAAGAAATAATAAGCGATTAAAAGAATTATGTTCCCCTAGATTTGTAAAATTCCACACTGTGCGGCATCGGTATTTCTAAAACCAGCCAATAACTATGAATGCACACATATGTACATATGTATGTGCATATATGTATGTATGTATGTAAATATAGCGCTCTAGAGAGTCCATAGAGTCCGTAGCATCTGTCGCGCTAGTAGGTTTTATCCGCGAGAGCACCAATCGTGCCACAATTAGTAGCATGCACCTGATAAGAGCACAAGTTCCACATGCTTCAGCTGTACTCAAAGCAGTAGCACCTCAGTTTATAGTCCACATTGTTTATATAACATTGGCCACTTTTTTGTTTGCCTTTCTTTTTTTAGGTTTTTTATTTTTATTTTAAGTTTTGTCGATTTTCATCTGACTCAATACTCATGTATATGCGTAATTATCCAACGAGAGGTTTTTGGGGCATGAGTATCAAGAAATGCAAGCTAAGAGATTTTAATAATACTGGATATACACTGCAATATGCAAAGAAAAATTAAGTTGAGATAAATAAGAACGAGTAAAGCCGAATTTCCACTAGGCATTGAAATGACAAAAAATTTACGCCATTTAAAAAAATGCCATGTGGGAATGAACTTAATGACAATTTTTTTAATGTAATGACACGATTATTTTGTAATGCCTGACTTTGTCATTTGTCATTTTTGCCATTTAATGCCTAGTGGAAATCCAGTATAAGGCTTAAACATTTAAATTTCGTAAAATATGTGGGCTAGCGATCGCCATAATGTATTTTATTTGAGATTTAATAAATTCCATATATTTACTTATGTATGTATGTATGTATGTATGTAGTGGTTAGAAGCCCTCGAGATACTTGGATATTTAAATTTGGAGACGATTTTATAACCAAAAACCAAGTCATTGAAAGTGTTTTTAGGACTTCTACACCATTTGTACTAATGCAGTTAGAAACGTTTTACATATCTGAACCCAAGTCCTCCACTTTAAAATTTACAAATAAATCGTGTGTGTCTACCCCTATTTCGAATATTGCGCGTATGGGGCATACCTGGTCGATGGTGGATTTGCCAGTTCTTAAATCACACTGATAAGAACCAATCGGTTCGTTGACGGCGAAACCCCCAAAATACGCTCGATATGATGCTTATGTGGCGGGTCGCCTATCTTGTGGGTTTGTCAGAGCACACTAATGGTGTTTCGTTTATACAAAAAATATAGCCTCCTTATTGCCCTCTTCTTTATATTCGTGAGTAGAGGGCCTTATAAACTCCTCGCCCGCAAACTTGGAATAGCTCAGATGGTAGACCGTCAGCTTCAGCTTCTAAGTTGTTTTTTAGCCGCGCAATTGCTATTCATACATCTTCATATTCAGGCGATGGGACATGGATTCCGTTGTCATCGAAATGGAGCTCTGGACAATTCTCCGCTACTTTCAGTACGGTTACCATTTAATACCCTATTCCTGCCATAATTTAAGTATGTTATGGACACTGGTCACTTGGCCGGCGTGGTTGTTCACCCAATTTTCTGGTTAAACTTTCGGGCTATTTCGGCCTCCCGCTTTTCTATTATGGAAAATACTTCTCACTTCCCTCTTCAATTTCCTATAACGGTTCCACACGGCTCGCATTGCACCCGATCACACCCTGTAGGAGGCATATTTTTACTCTGCAGCTTCCTGTCACTCCTCTTCGTACCAGTTATTCGTTCAGGCTTGCTGGAATACGACTGCTTCTTATTGGCGTCCCTAAATTGGAGCGCTGAGCGTTTGCACAGGCATGAGGATTTTTGACAGTTGTTGGCCAATTGACGCGCCAATTTAGGGACGGCAGTTAGACTACGGTACATAATGATCGGAAAATGTAATTCATATACCCGCATATGCCGGTTTATTGAAGAGTGCTCTCTGAGCGCAGGTGTGACAATCGAGTGTTGCATAAATTGGCCGTCTGTTGTGATTGCGTGGAAACGCATATATGTATGAATGTATGTATTTAAGAGCTGATATACATGTGTACAAATGTACGACGATTTCATGGTATACAAAAGTAGAAATAGTCCAAATTGGACAGTTAAATCCAGTACATCGCATGCATTTATTTTGTGGGCACAACATACACACACGTCCAATGATCAAAGCCAACACCAACAGATGCAGTGTAAATGCTTCTGTTTCAA